GGAACGCGACGGCGACTATATAAAATGAAACGGGGGAGCGTGATAAATCACCAGCACTCCAGGCCGGAAGCATTCGACCGATAATTGCACACTTACACGGTGCGGAGGGAGGCCATCGATGTTTTGACGGCACCAACCCAGCTCAGGCGAACTGGGCGGCACCCGACAGGCCTCCCCCCCGCATCACAAGTCAGAAAGGAACGCCTGACGCTGGATGTTTGCCCTCGGCAAGCCAACCCCTGGCTCGCCGACGGGCTGGGTTCGGGGGTGCCGGCGGGCACGGGGCTCCAAGGGCCTCCAACTTGGGAGACCCCAAAGCCACTCGGGCCCCACAGCGGCCACAGTACAGGAAAGGCCCTGCACGGTGGATCCTGTGCCCGTCGCAATCGAACAAGTATCCCCCCGCCTCCGCCTCCATAGCGGCAGCAGCAGCGGCAAGGGCAGCCTCCCCCTCCCCGGAGACGTGCTGCCGCCAGCCCAGCCGCTCGGTAGCAGCCGCTAGCTGGCGCAGCATTGGGCCAGGCTCGCACCGCGCCCCTGGTTTCAGCAGCGATTTGCAACTGGCTGGGGTCCGAGCAACGGCCAGACAGAGCCTGCACTGAACCGCCGAGGACCCAGGAGCCAGGGGCACGGTGTCATGAGCCACTAACACCAGCTGGGGCGCACGGGGCCCTGGGGCCCGAGCCGGCACTGGAGCAGCAGGCGCCTGGGAGACCTCGGGACGAGCACAGATTATCTGGACGGCTCGTGAGAGAAACTGGCACGACAATTTGCAATCGCTTATGGCGGCCTGGAGCGACGCAACCGCCACATCCGCAACAGCGATGTCCTGGGCTCCGAGCTTGGCAAAGAAATCGGCCCAAGCATTACCCATGAAACGCCATATATCACCAGCGCCCGCATCCTGATCGATTAACCCCTGGAGCGACAAGTGTGCAGGAGTCCAGTGGAACTCAGGACGCAGAGCGTGCTGGGAGCAGACAAGGAAGATTTTGCGCCAAATCGACGCGTGGGCTAAGGTACCGCACTCAAGGTTGGGGTCCCAGCCTCGCCCTTCATTGACAAACGAAAGGTGGTCGCTAATTATGACAGGTGGCAGGCCTCCCGAGGGGCCGAGGGCGATGGCATCTAGCCCCGCCCACCTCTCGCTCCTGGGGACCGTTTGAAAACGCCCTGGGAGACCGCCAAATCTGGCCCTCAATGGCCATCCATCGTCAGAAATCTCAACCACGCTCCAGCCGCATCTAGTGGCCTCGGGCACCGAGCTATGGAGCCCAGACCCGTCCGTGAACCGAAACCTGCCCCAAGGACCTTCCGCGAGTCCCCAGGTGAGCACAGGCGGCCGAGCTGGGGGAGGAGGCAACTGGATAGGGAGGGAGGGAACCCCGTAGAGCGACGACACGACATCCCAATCGGCCGACCCCAGACTCCTCCCTTTCTCCCGCAAGGCCTGCCTGTGCTGCCAAACGTCCTCAGGGAAGCCCATGCCATCCCCCGAATCCTCGCCCGAGGCGAAGGCACTGGAACAATCGAAAAACTGGTGGCCCATCGACCCTCGCTCCGCTCCACAGAAGGTGCACTGAGCTGACGGAGCCAGGCCCGCGTCGAATTTGCGAGCAGGCGGCCACAACCCTCCAGACCACAGGGCGCGCATCGAACCTTGACGGGCACCCGCTGGGAGAGCCAGGAGGGACAGGCGCATCGCTCGAGCCCAACAAAACTCGGATCCCGTCGCCTCTGGCCAGTGGAAGGGGACCCTACGCCAAAGCCAACGCTCAACCCCGTCTCGAACGAGGCTCCGAACTTCGCTGGGAGCGCAGTCATACAGAGAGATGTGCTCGCCACGGTCCGAGAGGAGGAGGTGAGGGGCCTCTAACTCCCAGCCGATGCGACGAAGCGTGAGAAGCACAGCAGAGATGGGACCGAAACACTGCCTCCAAGACCCCTGCTGACCCAACCGATCACGGATGGCCACGACCGCAGTCCGGAGGCGAGAGAGGGAGGTCCGACCATCCCACAGCCAGCACGCATATCTGACAACCAGAGGGCAGGTGGCGTCGAAGGTGGGATCATAAAACCTGTCTCTCTGCGTGCAAGTATACGCAGTGAGCGACGCGAGGCCTCGCCTAGCTCCTACCAACTCGCCTGCAAACGACCTCAACTTCATGAGGGTGGAGTCCGTGAGGCCTACCACCCCCGCTCCATGACTACCTGACGGCATAACACCGGTGCGCCACAGAGTCCTCACCTTGAGACCCCCGGCCTTCCTGAGGGCCCGAAGCCGCCCCCGGCGCCCCAACACAGTACCCAACCTTTTTCTTTCGAGGGCTCTGCGGGGGATGCCGCCAGCAAACGTGTCGTGACCTAGGTTCCTGGCCGTCTGAAATTGCTGCAGCCTGAGCCTGTACGCTCGGGCCTTGACGGCCTTGGCCGCCTCCGTCGACGACGCCAGGTACCCCGACTTCGAAGCCTGGAGCAAGAAGCCGAGCGGGCGGGTATACCTGGCGAAGGCCACCACAGCATTAAACACTACACCTGCATACTTGGCCACTGCCCCTATCCACTGGAACGAAACGTCGTCCATGAGGCCTCGGGGCACCACAAAATCGAATTCCCTCTTGAGTCTCTGGAGGGGCCTAAGCAACAGGACCTGCATTAGAGTGGTGGCATGGCTGCACCCCGCGAGAATCCCCTGGTAGGACCTGTAGGAGCGGCTGAGCGACCCAAACCCGCGGATGCGCCGAGGCTGCTGGTAGTTGCACACCAACATCCAAGCAAGCCGAAGGGGGTATCCCACGGCAGCAGCCTCGGCCATCACAGCCGACAGCAGGACTAATTCATAACATTTAATCATGTCGATTAGCACCGTCACACAGTGTTCACCTATGCTGCGTGCCACTTCGGCCTCCAAATTGTGACTGAAGGCACAATCGAGACTAGAGCGCCCAGGGCCCGAGCCCCACAAGAGCTCGCTACGATGGTTCCCCTCCCACTCCACCGAAACCGGCCTCCGAACCCTCCCCCACACCCGAATCAGAGAGTGAATGAGGGCTATCAGCCTGTGCTCGCCTGGTTTATCAGGCTTGGCGAGGCGCACTAACTCGGTGGCCAAGCGATCGCTCGGCCACATCCCAAGTTTTTCGCACTGCATAAACAGAACGGCGACGGCCTGCAGAGCCTCGTCGCTCAGGTGCCAGAGGCTGCAAGGCGCGAGGCTGCCTGGACCAACAGCAGTCCGGGAGGAAAACTTCCGCACGGCAGCTCGGACTTCGACGTGAGAGATGCACGGCAGCAGCGGCCAGCTAGCAGCCTCAGGCGGCAGCTCCAAGCGCGAGCAGCCATGGGTGGCCCAGATGCCGGACCAGAAGTCGAGGCAGCTATCGGCCCGCTCATGAGGCTGAACACCGGCGGCCTCAGCCTCCGCAGGCTGCAGCGCCTGCACCTTGGAGAAGCGATGGGCCTTGGACGCGCCCTGCACAAAGCTCGCCTCGACCCAAGCATTCCACGACTTGGCACGCACCGCCGCAAAGTCGGCCAACTTGCTCTCGCCCTGATGGACGAGCCAGTCCACCATGTCGTGGAAGTAGGCGTCCGCGAAAACCAGCAGCCCCTGCTGGAAGAATGGCAGGACACAGGCATCGACCTCCGCGAAGACCCACTTCTGCTTGAGCACCCGCTTGACGAAGGCCTCCGTATCGTAGAGCAGGATCCCGATCTTGGAGGTCTCCGCCGCCGTGGCGCCCCCAGCAGCCCGCGCCTCCATCAGCTGAGGGATCCTGGAGCTGAGGCTCTCACTGACCCGTCGCAGGTGCCTGGCCCAGCCCGCCGCCACAGCCCACGCATCGGTGGCCGTGCCCCTCTCAGGAGGTCGGCGTCGCGGCGGCTGCCAGGCGAACTTCTGCCAACGCGTTCGCAGCGGCCCCGCTCGCCCAACTTGGCCAGCACAGGCCTCGCCCACCAGGTCGAAGCGGCCGCACAGCTCCTGCTCGATGCCTTGCAGCACGTCGTCCCAGCACTGAGCCACCGCACCCTCGCAGGAGGCGCGCTCGGTCGCCTCCTGGACCGCAGCCCAGATCCCCACCGGAGGTCGACTGCAGCCGGGCGGCGCCACCGCCGCGAAGGCCTTGGGCTCCCACGGCACCCTGCACCACAGCGGCCTATCATGGGCCAGGAGCGGCAGCAGCACAGGCTTGTGAGGGTACGTATCGGCCGCCTCCACCACCTCGGGCAGCCGGACGCGGCTCAGAAGGCGATGGTCCACCCCGAAGTAGTCGAGCTTCGTGCCTGGCATCTTCTGCCTGCACGTCGATGCCGCCGAGCTGAGCAGCACAGCGCCCACCGAGTTGAACCACGGGGCCAGCAGCTCGGGGGACATGTTGAAGTCCCCGCCCACAACCCAGCAGTAGCCACGGCTGGCGACGTCCAGCACGTAGTGGCCCACAACCCTCAGGATCTCCAGGTTGGAGACGTCGAGCCCGACCGAGTCGTGGAGGTACACGGACACGAAGACGATGCCGCCAGACACGCCCCAATGCACTAGGCCCGCAGTGGCCCTGCCTGGCACCAGGCACCCCGTGGGATGCAGGGGCGGCGCGCTCACCTGGATGGCCGCGGAGGCGAGGACCGCGCAGCCTCCACGCGTGCCTCCTTCGGGGGAGGGGATCGCCGTGTCCCAGACGCCGTGGAAGCCCAGGCTGCGCACCCGTTGCTGCAGACTGGCGACCTTGTCGTCGCCCGCGTGGTGCTCCTGGACGAGGACGACCTGGGCATCGAACGAGCTAGCCAGCAGCCGCTCCAGGGCTCCGTACGACGACACGTTGGTGGTGGCCACGAACCCTTTGACCGCTGCCCGACAGTCGTCAGCAGGCGGCCTCGACTCAGGACCGTCGGCCTCCAGATAGCGCCCAGCAGCGCGCCCAGCAGCGCGCCCAGCAGCTTCGCCGTCGGCGGCCGCAACGCTGGCCCCCGACGGGGGGCAGGGGAATGTCGCAGACACCGAGGCCGCCAGAACACCCCGCTCCACAGCGCCCACGCCTGCACCAGCCGCCGACGACGAAGCACAGGAGCCGGGGGCCGCCGAGACCGCCGCCGAAAACTCGGTCTGGAGGGCCTGGGTCGAGACACCCCCCGGCAAGTCCAGGATTTTCCGGAAAATTCCTGGACTTCCCTGCCGGTGTCGGGGGGGTTCTGGAATCACATCCGGCGCCCCATCGAGGTCGGTCGACACCGGCACACGCTGGCCGCCCGTGGGGTCGACGGCCGAGACCACTTCCAGCACAGACATCATCATGACATAGTGCAGGACAGATCTACGCCACTGCAGCGGCCTCAGGCGCCTCCAACCGCTGGCGCTTGGCGAAGCTCTCGAGCCCATCGGCGAACCGCTTGGCCGCCTCGCGGAGATCGGCCTCCTCCGCAGGCACGGCTTGCCCCATGGCCTGCAGGAAGGCCTGGAGCACCTCTGGCGTGTCAGCGCCCACCCCAGCAGCAGTAGGGAGGCGGAAAGCCCGAGACCCAGCAGGCCGCTGCACTCCGCCTGGCTCGGGGATGGGCGTGCCTGGAGCCGCGCCGCCCGTCGGGGGGGCCGAGCCTCTGGCGGCCTCCGCCTGCCGGCGCTCGAGCTCCGCCTGCCGCTCGGCATTCGCCTTGACGGCCGCAGCACGGACGCGGCCCACCGCGCGGTGGAGGTCCTTGGCCGCCTCCTCATCCGCGCCGAAGGTACCCAGCACCTGGACCATCTGCTCGGCGGACATCTGGACGCTGGGCAGCACGGAGTCGAGCGAGGCCTTGACGCCCTCGATGACGGTCGCCGGCTGCGGGAACTGCAACGCCACCTCGGCCCGCTGCGCCTCCAGCACAGCAATCTCGCTCTGGATGGTGCCAAGCTCCGTCGCCGCCTCGTCATGCTGCGACTGGAGCTCTCGCACCTGGCCGAGGAGTTTGGCGACGCCCGCGCGCTTGGCCTCTGCCTTGCGCTCCAATCCTTTGATCTGCTGCGACAGCTGCTGCATCTGGACAGGAAGCGGGCGCGAGCCCATCCGCTTGACGCGCAGCTGCTCGAGCTCCTCCGCGTACTTCCTGCGCATTTCCTGCAGGCCGCCCGAGGAGTCGCTGACGCCCACGGTATGGTCGAGAAGATCTCGCAGCTCCTTGGCCCGATCCGACTCGACCTCGGCCTCGAGCTGCACCAAGGCCGCCCCGCAGTCGACTGCCATGCCGAACGGGTCTGGCGCGGGCGCAGCGACCCTACCAGCGGCCTTGAGTTTGACGACCTCCGACTGCGCCTGCTTGAGCTCGGACTGGAGCTTGCGCAGCTCGGCCGCTGCCGTCTTTTCCTTGGAGGACACAGACGGCACATTGGGCACCCGGTTGGAGTGGAAGCACTGCCCCTTGGACCGCTGGCACTGCTTGCACGACACCAGCTCGGCATGGTTCCACCAGCGCGCACCGGACGGGGCCCAGCAGAAACGGCAGTGCCATTGCTGGGACCACGCCACCCGCTGCTTGGTGTGCCCGGACTGCAGCTTGGGCGGCGCCATCCTGCTGAGGCGGCGAGGCTGCTCGCGCACAGGAGGGCCACCAAGAGCAGCCTCGTGATCGCCGTTGCTCCTGCAGGAGCTCACGAAACGCTGCGCCGCACGGGGCTGACCGCACGACACTCTGCCTGGGGCGGACCAGGCGAATCGATGAAAGCTGGCTCGGGAACAGAGCTATCCCGGTTTGGCACGGAGGCGCGGAGCCCCCAAGTGCAGAAAGCTTGAGCCAAAATGGCTACGGAGGAGACGGAGGAGGAGGAGGAGGAAGAGGAGGAGGAGGAGGAGGAGGAGGAGGAGGAGGAGGAGGAGGATGAGGAAGAGGAGGAGGAGGAGGAGGAGGAGGAGGCGGGAGGAGGGAGGAGGGTGGGGAGGGAGGAGGGAGGGAGGGAGGGAGGGAGGGCAGGGAGGGAGGGAGGAGGGAGGGAGGGCGGAGAGGGAGGGAGGAGGAGGAGGAGAGAATACTGCTGTAGCAACAGTCTCCTGTTGCGCCGCTGCGGTGTCCCGCTGCTTGGTCCAATTTCGCCCCTCACGACGTGAGAGGATGTCACTGGGCACAGCACCTCTGGCAATCAACTCAATCAATCGCTGGCTGCCTACGAAAGGACTCACTGCTGGCCCTTGCCCCCGCCCTTGGCCCCTACAAAGTTCCCCAGGTCCCTCTCGAGGGGCCCGCGCGGCGCTGGCCCCGTCAGCTTCTTGGCTCCGCCCTTCAGGACCATGAACGAGCACACCGCCTCGAATACTATCACCATCTCCGCCGATCGTCTCTCGATCGCCATGCAGATCACCCCGAACTTCTCCTCTGCGTCGCTCCTGGCCTTCTTGTACCGACAATGAAGGATCAACTCTGCAATCTGGCTCACCTCTTTGACGAGGATCGTGGACTCCCAGAATTCTCGGATGATTGTGTACGTCTTCTTGTCCTCGAGGTGGCCTCCCCCTGCCGTCAAACTCAGAATCTTCCTGAGCAGGGCGATGAACAGGTGGACGTGCGGGGGCCCGCGGAGCTTGAAGTCCACGCTCTGGCCGGCCTTCTGCTGTTCCTTGAGCGCCTTGCTCTCGTTGTCGTACACGACGCCCTGGGCCTTCATGGCCGAGCCGAGGTCGTCGTCGCTCTTCTCTGGCAGCATGAACGAGCCGAGGTCGTCGTCGCTCTTCTCTGGCAGCATGAACGACAGGTAGACCGCCGCCTCGAGAAAGGCCAACTGTCGCGCGTGCGAGAGGGTGAGCCGAGCCATCTTGCGCACCGTCTGCCTCAAGTCCCTGCCGCCGTCCCCGCCACCACTGCCGCCACCCCCTCCACCGCCTGGTGGTCCGCCCCCGCCGCCCCCGTCCGCTGTCTTGCGTACCTTCTCCACCGATGATAGGTCCGCACCAGCACGTTTCATGAAAGAGGGCATTGCGATGTCCGAGGGCTGCTCCGCGGCCGCGGCCGCCGCCATCCGCAGCTCGGGAAGAGGAGGGCCGAGGTGTCTGCGTAGATCGAGCGCGTGAGTCAGGTCGCAGTGCCGCGACTGGCCATGGAAGGTGAGCCCGAATATGGCTACGTAGATCCTCGTGGCTTCGGCCCTGAAACTCGCATATCTGGCAGCTGTAAGAGCTCGACTCAACCAGGGGGACCATACTTCGGGGCGCATAGTTGCCGCAATACCCTCGAGCGAGCGCCGCCTGCAAGTGACGAGCCGCCATAGTGCGATTTCTGAAGACCTGCAAGCAAACGGGGCACTCGTTCGACGTGGTCAGGACGTGGCTGAGGTTTCGTACTTTATGTCTATGTCTAAGGTGTTCCATATATCCTTTTTGCGTTGCAAACCGACACCCACATCCCTGTTTGTGGCCCTCCCCGTCCTCCACCTCCAAGTTGCAAACATAAGGTAGCCCCTCCTCCTCATCTTCTTGACTTCCTCCTTGGGGACCTGGAAGCTCGTCGTTATGATGCCACGGAGGGACCTCGTATGTGTGCGTCCTACTTCGTACCCTAGTGAAATCCACCTTCTGAAGGTCCATCATCACCTCCTCATCTTCGAAAAGCAACCAGGGGGACTCCGACACTCTCGAGAGAAGCTCCTCTGCGTCGGGGCAGGCGCGCATCGCCTCCCCCATATCCGTGCCGACTCTGCGTGCCCAGGGGGAGGCCCATTCCGTTAAACCTGTAACTGCACACGGCCATCTGAGAGGGTCCTCGAATGGCATGTCGCCTCCAAAGAGTGCCAGGAGTACTTGTACATGTGACTCAGGGTGTGCTGACCACGACTGATACCAACGCAAGCGCCTACAAAGTAACTCCGTCTTACAATCCGAGAGCTCCCAATAATCCAAGACCTCCCGTGTTGTGAGGGAACGAATATGATCCTCATCGTGCGTGCACGCCCCCCCAACCATCGCTGTACGACCCAATCGTGCTAGATGTCTGTCGAGAAGTTGCGTCTGCTTATCCGTGAGTATGAAGGGTTCCATTCCTGTAAGCAGAGAGCCTTGGACAAGACCTGTAAAGATCACCCGCTTCCACTTCCGAGGTATGTTCAATGACCAAAAGGCCCCCATACTGTAGAAGCCTGCTGACGATGCTGCGATGCGGCGCTCGATCTCGGGGGAGGACTGCTGCAGGGGGGTGATAACTGGTCCCAGGTATCTCGCCACGTCCGACACGGTGCCCTCCAGCCTACCCTCCTTCACACCTTGCTCCCTCAAAAACCGTTTACACGCTGCTGCTCCTGCACCCGCAATATAAAAACTAGTGACCTGTTTAGAACGATTCTGAACATAACCTGCTGGTTCCAAGGTGTGATCAAGAATCCGATCGATGGTCCTAAGGTCTGCAATAACATCTATCATGGTGTCGCCGATAGGTAATGGTACTATACGAAGGAGGTCGTCGGCATACTTTTGGTACGACATGTCCACAATTCCCCCCGCCCATGACGACTGTAACAGGTTAGTGCTGGGGATGCGTTCTCGGACTTGTTCGGCCCAATCCTCCACTGGTTTCCTAAAGGCGCCTGCAAATCCTTGTACATTAAACGGGTCACCCATGACTCCCCCACAGCCCGTCTTTAACAGGATCGGCTCGGTGGTCGTCTCAATCTCCATAGTAGATAACCGGTAGCGCTGCCTGCACAAGTTCCAATCTTGGGGGGGGACGTGTTCCTGGATGACGGTGTCGAGAGCGTCCCACTGGGTACTTCCGAAAGCATTAGACATGTCCTTCATACTAATGGCATACGACCATCCCGCCTGCCTGAGGCGGTAACTCATAGCCATGATGCTCATAATCGCGTCCTCCCTCCTCCTGTGACGGGCAAAGCCGTGATCTTGTGGGGGTAGAACCAAGGGCAGACGTTTAGCATACCATGCCTTGCCCACCGCGGGCAACGTGTGGATGAGCCGGCGCCCCTTCGGGCCTAACACGTCGTTCTTGTACAGTCCGATGCCCCTACTTCTGTGCCAATAAAGAGGTGTAAGATCACAACGCCGTATCTGTAATAAGGCTTGGTGGAAGACGTGTTGACAAGATTTAAGGCATGGGATCGGGTCAGAATAACCAACTCCGTGATGGTGCTTATGCTTTCCCAGAGGTGTAAGGAACATGTCCCAGAGCTCTAACGGTGCCGTGCCAGGTGGGACCACTCGTCGCTTGCCTCCTTTTCTGCAGTACTTCCTGATAGCTGCATAGTCTTCGGCGGCTAGATCGGCAAGCGAGCTTTCGTCTGCAACAGAGACTACTGGGGGTACAAGGTTATCTCGTTGTGCACGCCACGTGTCCCAAGATATAGTATGTGTGGCCATCCCTCCCTGTCCCCCAGCTCGTGACATGTACTCCTCCCATTCCTGAGCATCCAAGAGAGCGGGCCCAAGTCGTCGTCCGTCCCTCTGCTTCGCACCGAACCTACACTTGGCTGCCTTTCTGGATAATTGCATAGCGTCTGCCATCCGCCGCTCCCGCCAGGCTTCCTCGATGAGTTCAATCTTGAGGTCCCTATCCAGCTTCGCCGACTTCCGCCGTTCACTCTTGAGAGTGTTCGAGAGCCGCCGTAATTTCCTCTCGATCTCCTCCACCTCCTCCTCCGACTTCCCCTCCTTGCTGGCCTTCATGTCCCTCCTTATCTTCAGAAGCTCCCTGCGACGCTCGCAATCGTCCGAATGGGGGGCCAATGGTGCTCTCTGGAAGTGACGAAGGCCAACGGTGGTAAACGTGCGCTCGTACGCCTCGAACACCTGATCTGGGGCCCCCGTGTGAGTAAGCTCTAACAACTGTTCCTCGTTGGACTCCAATTCTGCCGCCAGGTCACGAAGGAAGGCGGCCTTGCCGTGCCCGTATCTAACAGCCATCATCAGAGCCGACGTGTTCATCCGAGGCTCCGCAGGAGGGGGTAGCTGTCGAGGGTCTTTTACATACTGCACTTCCAGGTACAATGGAACGTGGTCTCGTGGGGGAAGGCCCCGTACTGCCTGAACTTGCGCGCCTAGTGTGCGGAGAGTGTGGCAGTGGATAACCCTTTCATGGTACCCCTGAGGCAAGTACAGGTAGTCAATCATCGACGGTCTGGACGGGTTCGTGCAGGAGAAGTAAGTGTACTCACGTGCACGAAACGTGGCAGGTGCGCACATGCCGTGCTGGTCCAGCAACTTCCTAACCTCCTCCCCTGCTCCTCGTCGTCGCTGTTCCCGTCCTCTTGTCTTCCCAATCGCCGACGACACGACCTCCTCCCACTGCCCCGCAATCTTCGACAGCCCCATCCCGTCATTGAGGTCCGAGTAGAAAATGGGGAGCGTGCGGGACGGGAGGGAGTTGAGAACGTCGTTCCACCACCTGATAAGTGCCTGTACCGTCGCATAGTAACTCCCCGCCTGCCCCTTTTTTGACGGTTGAGGAGGGAAGTAGAGGGAGCCGAGCACGAGATCCTGGGCACCCCTCTTGACTCGGACCGCGACCCCTCGGCCCGCACATTGTACAGGAGCAGCCCACGTCTGAACAATATCCTTCTCTCGATAAGCTCGGCCCAGACAGACGGCGCAACCGGTGCTCGAGTTGGAAAGGGGGGCCTTCTGATAGACCGATTCAATGATCAGGCGACCCTCCAAGCGACGACGTAGAACCCCACCACCACGCCTACAAGTTTCCCGAGTACCTGCTAGGAGTAGGGCGTCCGCACCATGGGTGGCCTGCAACAGCTCTGACATCCGAGGGCCCGTCGCGAACATAGGGTTGAAAGCAAGAATACGAAGAGCAGACCCCATCGGCGCCATGGTCTGCTGTGGAGAGGCGCGCGTCGACCTCCCAACACCTTGTTCGGGTGTATGGAACCCCAGTGCGGTGGCTTCCAAAGACGAAAAAAAGCTGGGGCTGGAGGAGGAGGAGGAGGAGGAGGAGGAGGAGGAGGAGGAGGAGGGGGAGGAGGAGGAGGAGCAGGAGGGGTAGAAGGAGGAGGAAGACGAGGAGGAAGCGGAAAAGAAGCGGGAGAAGGAGGAGGCAAGGGGAAGAGGAAGAGCAGGAGGAAAGGTACCGGCATCTCGGTATATATCTCTTTGCACGCCCATCATCCCGGTGCGCCACGCGCTGCTTGTGCATGAAGGTCAGCGCCTTCAGCAGGTGGCGCATGATGTGCGCGCCCTCGTTCTCTGGGAGCCCTGGCATGCTGGCGCTGCGGAGCTCGATGAGGTCGAACAGGTCGCCTCCGTCGCAGCACTCCATGACCACCCAAACCTCTCGGGGAGGACGAAAGGCAGGAACGACCAGCACGAGTCGAGAAATCGCATCGACTCGGAACGAGCCTCCTCCTCCTCCTCCTCCTCCAACTCCTCCTCCTCCTCCTCCAACCTCATCCTCCTCCTCCTCCTCCTCCTCCTCCTCCTCCTCCTCCTCCTCCTCCTCCTCCTCCTCCTCCTCCTCCTCCTCCTTCTCCTCGAGCAGGGCTGCATCGACACGGAACCGAGATCGAGCCGGGTCGGCCACGCGCCGCAGCGGATACCGTCGGACCATCGGAAGCGAAGCGGATCGGGCCGTCCAGCATCGATAACGGATCGGATCGATGGGATCGCAGTGGACCCTGAAAGGGGGGAGCGAAAATGACGAGCGGAGCCGAAGAGAGGGGACTGGCCCAGGTTAACGGGCGAAGAACGGCGTAAAATAAACTTTTTCGCCGTCGGGGGCGCCTGTCCCAAGGCGGCTGGAAAGTTTACACCCTTACGGTGGCACCGTAGGGGTATAAACTTTCCAGCCGCCCAGGGACAGGCGCCCCCGACAGCGAAAAAGTATATTTTAATCCGTTCTTCGCTCGCTGAGAAAAGAGGGGACTGGCCCAGGGCGGATGCAGTGACCTGGAATCGACGGTACGTCGCCGATGGACTGGCGACAGGCCCCCAGTGGGGAAAGGCCCAAAAGGCCCTTCTCGTCTTGGTCCGGGGAGGGGCTTCGCGCGATCGAAGACGAGGGCAGACTGGGGGCGAGGTCGAAGGAGAGGATCCATCGATTGAATCTCCGCGGGCCGGCGGGGCTGGAGGATGCCAGTATCGGGCGCCGCCGGCCGCTCCAGGGCGTCCCAGAACGCTCTGGAGCGACGTATCCTCAGCCCGGGCTTGCCGGGGTGTCTCCTCCTCCTCCTCCCCCTCCTCCTCCTCCTTCTCCTCCTCCTCCTCCTCCTCCTCCTCCTCCTCCTCCTCCTCCTCCTCCTCCTCCTCCTCCTCCTCCTCCTCTCTCCTCCTCCTCCCCCTCCTCCCCCTCCCTCCTCCTCCTCCTCCTCCTCCTCCTCCTCCTCCTCCTCCAACTCCTCCTCCTCCTCCTCGGAGCCCGGCCCGGGGAGGAGCCCTCCTGGCTCCCTGCCCCGCCCCGCCCCCTCCGCGGCGCGCCGTGCGGGGCTCGTCGAAGGCGGCCTGCAGCTCCACGATGTGGGGGTGGCGCAGCTGCCTGGGGGCCCGGCCCACTCGGAGGGCGAAAATCCACAGAAGTAGGGCGGAAACGACAACAGAAAAATAGGGCGGAAATTGGCATCAGCGGGGCTTGAAAAGTAAGGCGGAAATTCCAAGCCCTACTTACGAATTTCCCCAAAGTAGGGCGGATTCGGAGTCAGGGGCACGCCAGCATGCGGTACGGTGAGGTCGGGCGTGTCCCCCTGCAGGCCGATCTTGCACGGCACACAAAACGTATGCAAAAGATGCTCCGAGATGATTTGTTTTAAAGAATGCTCCGAAAATCGTCCCCAAGCTATTTGGTTGCCTATGTTTTTTGAGTACTCCTCCGGTAGAGGGACACGCCCGACTCGGCAGCACGCATCCGTGCATCGGGAGCGGCCAAGAGGGGGGTGTCCAAGAGGGGGGGGTGCAAATCATGACCGGCGGCACTTGCGCGGCCCAGCGGGGGGGCCAGGCACGTCATGGAATAAGAAGAGGCGCCATGAAACCTGTGGAAACATCATGGCCCCTGCCATGATATCCATCCCCCCCTAGTCATCACTCCCCTCTTTTCCGCCCCCGAGTGCACGCGGGTCGCGCGGGCGCCGGGCCCACGGGCTCGGAAGCGCGGCACGCCCGAGGCGGGAGGCCCACGCCGCCCGACGTGGCGGCTGAGCGCGCCGGTGCTGCACGGAGGCGCGCGCACGGGGGCATTTCGCAGAAGGCATCTGTACACCACCGCCGTGCCAAGGCAGGGCCATCCTGGGCCCCAGGATGGTGCACACGCCATCCTGGCCGAGGCCAAGGGGGTCAATACACCATCCTGGGGCCCAGGATGGGCCTGGCCTGGCACGGTGGTGGTGTATTAGATGCCTTCGTCGGAGACATGCTGATGCTAAGTCGGGCGTGTCCCCCTACAGGGGGATGTTTGACGAAAAATCAAAAATATTCAAAGAATACTCCAAAATGGTCCAAAGAGAATCAAAAAACATAGTCTGGGGACTATTTTTTTGATATTTTTGGGCCAGTTTGGAATATTCTTGTCGTATTTATAACTTTCGTCGAAAAACCGCTTCCAGGGGGACACGCCCGACTTCAGGCCAATACTGCATGTCCTCCTCGGAGGCGCCCGTCCGACCCGAGCATCTAGTGTACCCATCTCGTAGCGGATCCTTCCCCCAGCGGTGTGGCCAGGAAGCGCCCGCCACGGCGCGTGCGCTGCAGGATTTCTCGGTGTCTGCGTCGCCCCATGGGACCGTAGATGGACAAAAAAGTGGAACCCTCGACACCACGCCCCCCCCTGCCCCCAATTTCAAAGTTGGCCTCAAGCATCTGGCAGCACAAGCGCGTGAGAGGACCAAAAAGAGTGGAACCCCCCGGGCCTCCGAGAGGCCGAAGCCAACTTTGAAATGGGGGGGGGGGGGGGGGGGGGCGAATGCGGGGCCGAAGACCAAGGTGTTCTATGTTTTTTATCCCCTGACGGGAGGGGGGCGACGGACATGTAGTAGAAGCACGTCGGGGTGACGCCGACAGGCGGCCAAGGCCGCCCGATTTGGCGACGGTGCGCGCCGATCCTCAGAAACGCATGGTTTTTCCCACGTGGCGGATCTCGGAACCCCCCTACCAGGAGGAGGAGGAGGAGGAGGAGGAGGAGGAGGAGGAAGAGGAGGAGGAGGACGAGGAGGAGGAGGGGGGGGGAGAGCACCAGGAGGAGGAGAACGAGGACCCCCCCAAAAAGCACGCAATGGGCCTCTTCTGGAGGGGTGGGGGCTCGACCCTCTCATAGCTGAACTTCTACGAGGTGCCCACGCTGAGTCGTGGTTTTCGTGCGGCGCCCTCGTGTCTGTTGTCGTTACCCAAAAATAGGGGGAAGGCAAGGGTGTCGGTCTGGTGCGCGCGTGTTTAACTGTAGGGCTGATGCTGTTGCACATTGCGTTGAAGTCTGCTGGCGTAACCTTCAGAGTAAGTAAATCCAGTTATGTTTTTTGGCTCCCCGGGCAGCACAGCGGCGGCACGGAGGATCTGATTGATGTCACGTTTGTTGATGATGAGTGCATCATCTTGCTAGCTGCGTCCGCTCGGGAGTTGGTCAAGGCCATTCGTGTTGTGCTAGAGCTGCTTGTGCTGACATTTGGCCTCCTCGACCTCCGCATCAATTTCGAACCAGGAAAAACAGAGGCGATGGTGAAGTTCCGTGGAAAGCACGCCACCCAGTGCTGGAGGACCTTCATGAGCCCCGAAGGTAGGTATATCGACCTCCCTCTCTCCGAATTCTTTGCCCCCGAATTCTGGAGGCTGAATGTGGTGAGCTGCTATAAGCATCGTGGCGTCAAGGTCACTGCTGACAGAAACGACTTCCAATCCAGGGATGGCCAGCACAAGGCTTTTCGAGTAGCCCTCAAAAGAAAAAAAGAAAAAAAAGGAAAAACAAAAAGAAAAAAATGAAAAAATACAAAAAGAAAAAATAAAAAAAAAAAAACACGCCTCCACCACTCACCACCCAATTAACCACCCCCCTCGGCCTCCCCCCCCACCAACCCCCCCCCCAACCCCCGCACCCCCCCACATCGATAAGATGCCTCAAATCGCCACCCCTCAAAATGGTTGACCTCCTAGACACGATCAATATGCAAGCTCGCGCTCAGGACTCGCTCAGCCTTCCAGACTGATATCAAGTGCGAGTACAAGGAGACAGCCCCGGAGGAATATTCAATGCCCCGAGGTAACGGCCACGGACCACACCAAAAAAGAATTTACCGGCGGAAGTTTGTTCGAACCGATCCTTGACAGTATACTAGTTACTGAAGAGGCTGAAATATCTGAAGCGTTTACTCGCTGATGGGTCCCCTGTCCTGCTAGCACTGCAAGCGCAAAAAGTCTAAAGGACAGTGCAGTCCCTTACTGCGCAAAAACAGCGTGACATGCTGCCTCTGAGATAGCGCGAGATGTAAGCTTTGAAGCCCCAGTCAAGGATAGGCAGAGTATGGGCAGGGCCATTGCCCGATCCCAGAAGTGGGAGCAGGCGGTAGATGCAAGTAATTTTATCCTCAGATTCGTGCTTAGCTCCTTATGTGTCCAGCGAAAAAACCACAAAGTAAAACAGACAAGTAGTAAGAAACAAAAAAAAATATACACTTAATAAATAACACCCCCCATCCACGGCTGCCAAGGGTTTGCATACGTGCTCGCAGTGTTATGCGACGTTCTGCAGCGAGAAAGCCAAAGAGCAGCATGAACGCTATCGAGCAACCAGATGCGGCAGCCCGATGCGTGCATATCGGGTCGGGGCGAAAGGGGTGGTAGCAAAGGGGGATAGCAAAGGGGGTTTGAGAATCAGCTCACGTAGCTGATTTTCCTGGCGCCTCCCGGCGCCGGGAGGCGCCCATGTATCGAGGAATGGGTCCCTCGGCGGGGCCGAAACCAGCTGCATGCAGCAGATTTCGTAACCCCCTCTTTCCCAATCCCCCCCTTTCGCCCGGCCCGAGCATACGCGTTCGGCGGTGGAAGGTGCCGCGCATGCAGTACTCAGTTTTCGTGCAGGTGGATGCTTTCGCGACACTTGCGCGACCAGCGGAGGACCAGGTGCCGTGACGCACTGCTGGCATCGACGGTCGAGCCGTGGAGCGCCGCGGCGGTGGTCGCACCTGACGAGGCAGACAGAGCCGAGTGCGCCAGGGCTGGGCGTGCAGGCCACGCTCGGATCCTCTCCAAGGCCCCGGCCGTTCGAGACGGGAAGATGGTGGGGAGGTTTCGCAGCGAGGCGCAACATTGTATGGCAGAATGGATGCGGCTGTGCTTCCCCAGTCGTTCTAAACCGGCGCGAGGGCGCTGAACGTTACGACAGTTCTTGATGATGACAGCATTCATTGAGACATCCTGCGGATATCCTCGGTGCAAGAAACGTTTTCATCTCTTGGAGGCTTACTTGTTTACTTCCGCCGCCTTCCGCCAGCCTTCTGCCGGCGGAGGCGGCCTCGTTTTTGGACCAGAAAATAAACGACACAACCCCTTCTACGGCACCAGGGGGCTCAGCCTATGCCAGGAAATCTGGCGTGTTTTTTTTTCCGTGGTATACGCCACGCCCCCCGATGGGCCGCAGCGCAACGTGGAAGGCCGTAGGTGGGGTGGTGTCCTTTGCTTTTTGGTCGAGTCTTACCTCCGCCGCCCCTCCGCCGCGGAGGAGCCGACAGCTCCTTCTGCTCGCGGAGGCGAGGCCCTCTCTGGAACGCCCCGCGTGCTCTGCACGGCGCGTGGCCTCGCGGGGCTCGCTGGGAAGCCGCTGGGGTCAGGTCCGGGCCGACCCCCTACAGGGGGGATTGTGGGCAGCAACATCAAAAATGCTCAAACAAAAACTCCCAACATGTGCTCAAAAATAGCCCCAAACGCGTCCCCAGACTCTTGCTGCACTGTTTTCCAAGATCCCTCCTGCTTAGAGGGACAGGCCCGACTCCACGCTATGGGGGGGGCCTCTGGAGGGCCGCTGCGAGAGCGCGCGGGCGGCCGCGCTGGACCCTAAGGGCCTTCCTCTGGGGCGTCGGCTGGGCCGTCCCCGGGCGCTCGGGGCCCGGCGGAGGCCCAACAGCGGGGGCCCGCCGCTGACCCGCGCGCGCCATGGCTCCCGGCGTGCGCCGCCTCGACAAGCACGCCGCGTCGGCAACGCCAGGGGGCTCTGGGCGTTGGGCCCCCTAGGCCCCTTCCCGGGGCGCCTCCGGGTGCCGAGGCGCAGGTCGGGCATGCGTGCGCCTCCTCGGCGCACGTCGTCTGCACCGCCAGGGGGACTTGGGCCCCCCCGCCCCTTTCCAGGCGCCCCTGGGTGCTCGGGCTTAGGTCGGGCATGTCCCCCATACAGGCGGATCTCGGGAAAAGGATGAAACACGTGCAACAAGTATTCGAGCAATAATCAAAGACAGTCCAAAAAAGTCGTCCCCTGACTATTTTGTAACTATTTGTGGCTACTCCTCCTGCAGAGGGACGGGCCCGACTTCAGCTCAGGCGCGCAGCTGTCGCCGCTTTGCTGCGCCCCTGGGGGCTTCCGCGGAAGGCTTCCCTTCCCCCTGGGATGGCTCCCAAGCGGGCCGCCGCGGGCCGTGCAGCGTCATGACCTCGTGCACAGAGCCCGCGGGGGTCCGCGTGTCCTTTGTCGCAGCCGCCCGCTCGATACCAAACACGGAAACGGGCCCTCGGGGAAACGAGTCCTGGACCCCGGGCACTGCCCCCAGCAGCAGCTTCTCGTCCTGAGCCCTTCTCAGGCGATCCCGAAGGCCCGTCGAGGGCCCAGCCGAACCAAGAACGGCGGAAATCCTGAGGACCTGTTTCTTTCACCCGTTTGCTTCATGATGAGTTCTGGCTGGACCCCATGTTTTGGGTCCCAAAGCCGTGGGGTGACAGACCCGGCGGCGATCTCGAAGTCCGCAAAAAGACCTACCGCAGGGTCCGCCACCGCACGGTTTGGGGACCCTGGAGGCCCCAGTCGCCCGAGACATCCTCGGAGAACCACCCGCATCCCAAAACCCTGCGGTGACCCCGAGTCTCCACCGAGGCACCACAAGTTGTGGCCATTCCGTTTGGGGGCCCCCTGCTTTCGCTGCCCCCCCCCCCGAGCTGCCGGTGGAGGCGCACCTCCTCCAGCAGCGCCTCGTGGCCTCGGCGCCGGCAGCACGGCCCGACCCGCCGACCCACGGGACCCCCGCCGACGACGGGATCCAGAAAACAGCCAGGGTGGAGCGGCAGGCAGGGGGCAGGAGGCTCCTCGACCCGGCCCTCGATCCTCCGGGGTCCTCGTCCTCCTCGACACCTCTTTCCCGAATCCCCCCTCCCTCTCCGCCTCCTACGCTCCATCTCCCCCGAATCCCCCGAATCCCCCGAATCCCCCTCCTCCTCATTATCCTCTTTTCCTCTTCTTCTTATTATTAGTATTAGCGTTATTGGTGTTACTATTATCATTCGCATTATCAGCATCATTAACATTATCAATGTCATTATCAGTATCATTCTTATTACTAGTACAATTAAAGATATCATGAGTAATGTTAGTATTAGTATTAGTGATCGTATTATTATTATTATTACTATTCACATTTCTATTATTCCTCCTCCTCCTCCTCTTCGTCCTACTTACCCGTCCATCGCCTCCTCGTCCTCGTCCTTCTCCTCCTCCTCCTCCTCCTGCGCGCTCCTGCGCGCGCCCTTCCCCTCCTGCCACCGCGCGCTCCCGCGCGCACGTGTGGGGGGGACGAGGGGGGAGAAGGCGGTGGAGGAGGACGAGCAGCAGCAGCGGCCGCGAGGATCGAGGGAGGAGAGAAAGGATACGGATGATGCTGATGATGATGACGATGATGCTGCTGATGATGATTCTGATGATGCTAAGTATGCTGCTGATGCTTATGATGGTGATTATGATGGTGGTTGCGATGATGCTGTTGATGATGACATTTGCTAAACATTGATGATGATAATGGTGATGATGCTGGTGATGCTGATGATTCTGATGGTGACGATGAAGCTGATGATGGTGATGATGGTGCTGGTGATGATGGTGATGATGGTGATGATGGTGATGCTGATGATGATGCTGATGATGATAGTGGTGGTGATGATTATTACTATGGTGGCGATGTTGATGGTGGTGACGATGACGATCACGATGACGATGACGATGATGGTGATGCTGATGATGACGATGATGATGCTGAGGATGAGGATGATGATCATGCTGATGATGATGATGATGATGATGATGATGATGATGATGATGATGATGATCATGATCATGATTATGATCATGATCATGATAATGATGATGATGATGGATGAATGATGATGATGATGATGATGATGATGGATGATGATGATGATGATGATGATGATGATGATGATGATGACGAGATACTGCGCTGCTGCGCTGCTGCTGCTGCTGGCTGCTGCTGCTGCTGCTGCTGCTACGGTGCTCTGGCTGGCTGCTGCTGCTGCTGCTGATGCTGATGCGGAGATGATGATGATGATGAATGATGATGATGATGATGATGATGATGATGATGATGATGACAAGGAGGAGGAGGAGGAAGGAGGAGGAGGAGAGGAGGAGGAGGAGGAGGAGGAGGAGGAGTAGGGAGGAGGGAGGGGGGAGAACGAGGGCTCTGCGGGCTCTGATGGTGCGGCCCAATGCTGCCGGCCCTGGCCGCGCGCTCGCCGCGGGAGGCGGAACCAGCCGCGACCCGACGCACCAACCAACGGACCCGAAGGCCCACGCCGGTCCCCGCTGGGCCCAATCGCCCACAGACAGGCGCTCCCAAGCGCTTCCCAGCCGTTTCCCAGGCGCTCCCAGGCGCTCCCAGCTCCCCAGCGCTCCCAGGCGCCGACAGGCGTTCCCAGGCGCTCCCAAGCGCTCCCAGGCGCTCCCAGGCGCTCCCAGGCAAAAGCCCGACACCCCCAAAGGCCAGGCCCCTGCGAAGGCTCCCAGCGGCCACGCGGGGCCCGCAGAGGGCTCTGCTGACCCCCCCCGCGCGGACACCTCTCGGGCTGGGAGGCGGCCGAAGATCTCCTCGTTGCCCTGCCAGTGACGTCCCCGAGCTTCCTCTACCTGCTTCTTACCTTCGCCTTTGGCTGTCACCTGCTTCTCCAGAGAGGGAGAACACGTGATCCGTGTCGCACCAGTTTTCTTTGGGCCGCTTGGCTTCCGACTCCTTTTCCTTGGCCCCGTTCTCTTCCTCCCTGACATTCTCATGATTCTCATTATCTGAAATATTGCCCGTCTCGTGTTTCTCTGCTTCGCAAGCTTCGGAAGTCACGAGCAACTGCCCTCCTGGGTCTTGGGCAGGGTCTTCACAATAGATGCCATTACCTACACCCCCCTGAAGGTCATCCGTGACCAACGCGGGCAAGGACTCGGCGTCGTAACCATGCCTTCCTTCTTCGTCCACCTGCTTTTGCGGGCGCCAATGTTGAATTCGACCGCTCCATCGAGAGGCCCCGCAATCGTTCCTTCTTTTCCTATGCCTTCTCTTCGGTGGTCCCCGCTAGCCTCGTCTGCGCTGCTACGCTTGTGTGAGGCCTTCTTGCACCTATTGTTCTTAAGCTCCGCGCCATCGAGAGGCCCCGCAGTCATTCCTTCTTTTACTCTGCCTGCTCTTCGGTGGTCCCAGCTCGCCTCGTCTGAGCTGCTACGCTTGTCCTGTAAGGCCTCCTTGCGAATATCTGTACTGAGCTCCTTTGTAACTATCCGATGTTTCGTCCTCCTCCTCCTCCTCCTCTTCCTCCTTCTCCTCCCTCCTCCTCCTCCTCCTCCTCCTCCTCCTCCTCCTCCTCCTCCTCCTCCTCCTCTCCCGGCAGCCTGGCCTGGCGCGAGCGTCGCAGCGCTGGCCGGCCGAGCCGCGCGCCGCGATCCCGAGGGCCGCCCGGGTGCACAGAAGCTGCCCCCTGGCTGCCCTTCTCCTCCTCCTCTTCTTCTACCTCTTGTGCTTTATCCGGCTGCTCGCGGCATTTTCCTTGATCCCGCGTCGAGCTTGCTAGACGCATGCTTTTGCCCACGCGCCTACTGGCGTATGGCTTGTTCGTTCGTTCGTTCCTCCTCCCCGCCTTCCCTCTTCCTCGGGACCTGCCCTTTGTGGGGGGCCACCTGCGAACCCTACCCCTACCCCCCACGACTTCTGAGGGGAAGGGTGGGGTTCGTGGGGGGCGGGGGGAGGGGGTTCGCATGTGGCCCCTGCTCTGAGAGCTGTGAGGCTTGTCTCTCCTGGTGGTGCGGCTTCGCGAGGCCTTCCAGCACCCGAGCCTCCGCCTCCTCGAGTGGATCGGGGGGCCGGTCGTCCGGCGCCGATGCTGGCCGAGAGGCTGCCCCTGGTCGCCATCGCGCTGCAGAGCCTGCGCTCCGAGCGGACACCGAAGTTCACGGCCAGGCAGCGGCTTGCGCTGCAGGCCCATGCCTCGACCGCGCGGGCATGCGCTGGCGCGACCTCCCCGGGCTCCTCCGGTGTCTCTCCAGCCTGCCCAGGTCGTGACCTGCTGCTGTCCCTGACGACCTTCGGCCTCTCGCCCGCCACCCCTGTGCGCCTCGGTGGCGCAGGAAGCCTCGGGCGAGGCGCCTCGTCCCTCACGCCCTTCATGGTCTCGTGGTGGAAGCTCGGCGAGGAAACCGACTGCACCGCTGGCAGGTTTGGGCCGGTATGTAGGCCATTGAGGTGAGATTCGACTCGGGCAGTCGAGCGTTGGCCGAGGAAGGGGCGATCCGAGAGCTCCGGCCGCACAAACCAGCCGCGCGAGGCCAAGAGGCCACGCCGAGGAGGCGTGGGCCACCAGACCTGGGTGTCGTGCAGAAATCCTCCTCCTCCTCCTCCTCCTCCTCCTCCCTCCTCCTCCTCCTCCTCCTCCTCCTCCTCCTCCTCCTCTCTCCTCCTCCTCCTCCCCTCCTCCTCCTCCTCCTCCTCCTCCTCCTCCTCCTCCCCTCCTCCTCTCTCAGTCTCCTCTCCTCCTCCTCCTCCTCCTATCCTCCTCCTCCTCCTCCTCCTCCTCTCCTCCTCCTCCTCCTCCTCCTCTCCTCCTCTCCTCCTCTCCTCTCCTCCTTCCTCCTCCTCCTCCTCCTCCTCCTCCTCCTCCTCCTCCCCCTCCTCCCCCTCCCCTCCCCTCCATCCTCCTCCTCCTCTCCCCTCCTCCTCCTCCTCCTCCTCTCCTCATCCTCCTCCTCCTCCTCTCCTCCTCCTCCTCCTCCTCCTCCAAGGGCACGCGGAAGGGCCAGCAGCTGCTCCCCCCGCGCTGACCCGCAGGGACTCGTACTCACAAGGTTGCGAGCCTCTCTTACGGGGCCACCTCGGAGCTCACCCCTGGAAGCTTGGAGGTATGCCCCCTGCCGGCCCTAGTGAGAAGTCAGCGCCGTTGCACAGCCAAATCGCAAGGGATTTTGCCAGACGCACGCAAGGCACCAGTCTAGGTGTGTTGATGTTGACCCCCTTTATGCGGATGTCCTGTGCTGTCCTCCTGCTCCTCTTCCTCCGCCTCCTCGTCACGGGGCCCCCAGAGCGGCCTGGCTTGCTTTCGGGAGCTCCGGCAGGCGCTCCGGGCGCCGCGAGCGCGGCGGCTGGACTCGCGCGGCAGCGCGTCTCGAGCCAGGCTCGCCCGCCAGCGCCACCGGAGCCCTCGCTCCCCGTCGTCCGCAGCCCTCGCACGTCCGGGGCGATCGCGGCGGCGCGCCGAAGCGCTCGGCGGCCGAGCGGCGCACTCGGTGCCGCGGGGCCGTCAGCCGCGCGGTCGAGCGCCTGCTCGACGCCTTCGAGGCGCGCTGCTGCCGTCGCAAAGCTGCAACGTCCTGTTTGGGTGCGGCTCTCGCTGTGGCGCGCGAGCTCCCCGGCCCCAGGGGACCCCATCCCGCAAACGGGCGCGGAGTCGCCAGGCGCGGCTCAGGCGGGCGTTCCTACCCCTGCCGTCCCCGGCCTGGCTGGTGACGTGCACCTCGTCAGCACGCGGACGCGCACGAAGATGATCCTCCTGGCGGAGCGGCGCCATCTGCGGCCCTGGAGCCGTCGGCGGTCGCGGACGCGGGCGTGGAGGTGGCGGGCCGAGCAGGAGGCCGAGCTGCACCTAAGTGGCCTCGGCTGTGCCAGAAGGCTTCACGTATTGCGTGCGTGCTCGGCAGAGCTCACTGCCACGCATGAGGCTGAGCGGGCGACGGCGGCTGCGGCCGCTGCTGAGCATGCGGCGGTGCTAGCTCCTTCAGCTGCCGTCGGGGCGCTGGGGTCGGCGGAGGTCGTGAAGGAGGTCTCGGTGCGGGTGCCCCTGCGCACGAGATTCGAGGAGATGCGGGAGGAGGCCATACCGGTGCCTCCCTAGCCGCGGCGAGCTGGGATAGCACAGTGCGCGTGCGGCTCGTCGGCGATGTCGATGCTATCCGTGGACCTGCTGGGGGCGCGGCGGCGGTTCGCCCCGCAGTCGGCATCATGGGCATCGGCCCCGCCGTCGGACAACGCCTCCTGCCAGCAGCAACAGCTGCGCCTGATGCCACTCAGTTCGCGGTGCTGCAGCGCGGACCGTCGTGTCGTGAGCACGCGTTCGGGGTCAGCGCCGACGACGAGGGCTCCCAGGGGAGCCCCGCGCCGTCGTGGGTTCGCCTGCGGGGTCAGTGCCGACGTCGTGAGGCGGGCCCAACTGGTGGCGCCGAGGGGCGCCGTGCTGGGCCGCACCTGCAGCTCCTGCGTGTTCGTGGAGTCCCTCTTCTTCTCGGTCGCACACGCTGCCAGCCAGCGGGCGCCAGGGCTCCGAGCAGTCGGAGTCACCCTGTCATCCAGAAGCCCTGACATACCCCTCGTCCCCCATACTCCTCCCCATCCCCATCCCCGTCCCCATCCCCGTCCCCCCTCCCTCCCCCTCCCCTCCCCCCCTCCTCCTCCTCCTCCTCCTCGTCTCGTCCTCTCCTCCTTCTCCCTGACTATCCTCCTCCTCCTCCTCCCACTCCTCCTCTCCTCCTCCTCCTCTCCTCCTCCCCCTCCCCTCCTCTCTTCCTCTCCTCCCCTCCTCCTTTCTCTTCCTCCTCTCCCCACCCTCCACTCTCCTTTTCCTCCTCATTTGCCGTCTCCTCCCCTCCTCCTCCTCCTCCTCCTCATCCTCCTCCTCCTCCTCCTCTCCCTTCTCTCCTCCTCCTCCTCCTCCTCCTCCTCCTCCTCCTCCTCCTCCTTCCTCTTTCTTTGTAGCTGGCTCCTCCCTGCCGCACCCCCCAGGCGTGCCGGCGGGGCGGGCCGGGCACTTCGCCCGAGACGTTCCCGCCCTCTGCGGGCCCTGGCGCTCGAACTTGTCAGCCGCTCCGCGAATGGAAAGGCGTGTGGGCACGCCCTGCGTTACCTGGCACCGCAGTCTTGATTGATGTGACTCGCCCTCTTCGGCACCGAAAGGGCCTGGGTGCACGAGGAGGAGCCACCGCGGAGTGACCGAAGGAACAGCGAGCTCCTCCCGAACCCCACGCGGTCCCTGCTTCAGCGCCTTGACTGTGCTCCTCGCCAGAGGAGGCCCGCCTCTGGTGGTGTCGCTTCTCCTCCATCCAGAAATGAGGCGTGGGCTGTGGTTCCTGTCGCAGGCTGATGTGTGGTGCCTCCCGCGCCATCTTGGCCGCGCTGCGCCCAGCTCCGCTCTGAGCCGGGCGCCGCTCGCTCCGCTGTTTTCCCCTCTGCCTCGGCGCGGCCCGCCTCGGCTTGCACGGCGTTCGACTCGTCTTCGCGCGCCCGCGTACCAAACAAACAGAATGGAGGGCGGGCCGTTTTCAAACAGCGGTTCTCGCCTCGGCGCCGCGCGCATTCCGTCTGAAGAGTGTGCAGCAGCTGCAGGGATGGGAGGCATGTCCTTTTTCAACGTGTTGCCCTCATCGAAGCGCCGCGAGCATGCGTTAGAACGTGTGCGACAGTTGCAGGACGCAGTAGCCACGTTGATTCGCGGTGTAGACGTCGCCAGAACGGGGTTATGGCACGAGTTGGGATTTTCAGGACGCACCAGTCACGTTGATTCGCGGCGTTGAAGTCCCGATTGAGGATTCTCAGACGGTTGTCTTCTGACGGGGCAGTTCTCGCAACGCAGCAGGGGCCTATGCAGAGGGAACTCGGATGGAAGGTTATTGCAACATCGTTGACGCGCCTTGCGTTTGCACTGGTCCTCCTCCTCCTCCTCCTCCTCCTCCTCCTCCTCCTCCTCCTCCTCCTCCTCCTGCGGCAGCGGGGGGGGGGCGCAATCCGCGCGCATATTGGTCGTGTGCCGGCGCAAACCCCAAGTGCCAAGCACCGGCCCTCCAAGCGCCGCCGCTCGTCAGCGCCAGGCAAGAGCGCCTGGCAACCAACCAGCAACCCCTCCTCCTCCCCAGAGATCCGACGTCTTGATTTTTTCAATACGGGGTCCCCGGAGGTCTCGAACCATTCTCCAGGACTGGTTTTCCATCCTGAATCGTTTTGTTGACGGTCACGGGGCCCGGCGAGGGCTCCTTGAGGCCGAACATTGCGAAAAAACGCCGTCTTGATTTTTTCAATACGTTGGATCTCTGGGTCCCCTGAGATCCGACGTTTCCAAAAAATTGCAGCATCGCGAAGAATCGCGACGGGAGCCCCGGACCCCATCTTCCTGCGTCCTTTCTCGAGTCGGATCGACCTGTGAGGGCCCCGCGGGGCCCGAGGCAGGGCGAAAAGGCGCCCGCGCTGTGAGAGAAAGGGCCACGCCAGGATCTCAGGGTCCTCCCCCCTATACCTCCTCCTCCCCCCCCCTCCGCAGCCTCTTCCCGGCTAAGTGAAGGGGCCCTGACACACACACACACACACACACAAATAGATACACACAAGTAAAAAGACTCCCCATGTTTTCCCATATTTTCTAGGTTTTTGTCTTCCCCCCCACTTCCCATATTTTCCCACATTTTTCTGGGGAGTCGACGATTAATTGTGTCCGTGTGTTTCTTTCCCCTCCTGATATACCTCCTCCTCCCCCCCCCCTCCCCAGCCTCTTCCCGGCTAAGGCGCGGGCTCCTCCCCTGCTCCGCGGACCTCGCCTTGTCCATCCGCTTCGCGACGCTGTCGCGGGGGCCGCCGCCGCCGCCCGAGGCCCCGCGCGCCCGGCACCGCCAGACCTCCCCGAACGAGCCGGAGCCCACCGCCCGATCCCCGACGAGCTCGTACAGGCTCTCGAAGTCGTGCTGCGGGGGGGCGCCCGCCCCGCCGTCCAGCGCGGCGGGGTGTCGCGGCCTCGATGGGAGGCGACTTCGCAGGAATGGCAAAGGGTGGTGCTGGGCTGCCCGGGGGAGCACGAGGCCACATCGAGCCAGATGCCGCCATGGAGCGAGCCGGGCGGAGTCGAAGTGAGCGGGACTAGTTACACACGACTCAGCGGAAGTCGTGTCGAATCCAGCCAGCTCCGACAACGGATATGCCAGCGCCGATGCCGAGTCGAACCTCCCAAGAGTTGCATCCAAACCGAGGGGGGGAGGGAGGGGGCAGAGGAGTCAAGGACGGCTGCACGCACACACGCTCAGACGCTCGGGCGCCCGCGCGGACTTCCTGGGGGTCGGCGCCGGAGAGCTCCCCTTGCCGCACCCCTAGCAGAACGCTGAAGCGCTTTCTCACACGGGGCCAGGGCAGGTGGGGTCGGAGGATCGCGCCGCATCGCCGATGCATCGGCGGCGGCGGGCTGGGGAACAAGGGGCCCCAGACCGCGCCGCATCGCCGATGCATCGGCGATGCGGCGCGTTCCTCCGACCAAACCCGCTTCAGCACCCCGGGGGAGGTCTGGAGGCGAGGGTTCAGCGGCGACCTAGCAGGTCCGTGCGGAACGCTGGAAGCAAACTTCCGTGCCGCCTATGTAAAGGAGGAGGAGGAGGAGGAGGAGGAGGAGGAGGAGGAGGAGGGGGAGGAGGAAGAGGAGGGGGAGGAGGGGGAGGAGGGGGAGGAGGAGGAGGAGGAGGAGGAGGAGGAGGAGGAGGAGGAGGTGGAGGAAGAGTAACAGGAGGAGGAAGAGGAAGAGGAGGACGAGGAAGAGGCGGAGGAGGGATGGTGTTACGGTATTTCAAGCCATCATGTTTTTGCCTCCCTAGGGGGGCATCCGTCGCCACGGCTGGATTTCCCTCGAAGTCTGGGGCAGAGTGGGCTCCAGGACACCTCAAAAAGGCAGGCTCCTGGACTGCATTTGGCATCTGCAGCATTCATGAGAACCCCACGCCCCAACATAACCTGTCACCCTCACCTCGATTTCCTCTTCCCGCCTTTTCCCCCTATCCCCCTCCTTCCCCCGTCTCTGGGAGCCTCCCGAATGGGGCTCGAGCAGATGGCGTCGGAAGATCGCGCCGCATCGCCGATGCATCGACGATGCGGCGCGGCCCTCCAACACCATCTGTGCTGCCCTCATGCGTAGGAGAAGACGAAGCGACTGCATAAAGATTACCTCTCGGAGGTCCGCGCAGATGTCTTGGATCGGCGCTGGACCACCCTCCCTGGCGTGCGGAGCGCGCCAAAGGGCGCGAAACAGGGAGGCCGCCATGGGGGGCCCCGCGAAGTCCGCGCGGACCTGCGAAAATAGATGTCTGCGCCGCCTGTTCCTCTTCAGCATGCGAGAAGGATGGGGAAGGCTCTCCCCCTCTGGTTTGGACGCCCGGAATGGGAACGGAAAAAATGGTAAGGGGGACGTGAGACCCGGGTACGGGGGACTCGGAAATCCCCGACGAGGTCGTCAAAAAAATGACGAGGCCGAGCCTGCATTTTGACGAGGCCTCCCGCTGCAGACATCCCACGAAACTCCCCCTCGTCAAAATCCGAGGCGCGGTCGTCAAAAAAGGATGGCGAACCCGAGTCCCGGCAAACCCGGGTCTTACGCTCCCCCGAAATGGGCGCAGTGCCCAACAGCGAATGTTCTTCACAACCGACAGAGGCCGCTGTTGGGCAAGCGCCTGTTTGCCTCAAGTGCACAGCGTCTGCGGCGGCACCGACAGCAGGTCTGGTCTGAAACTAAAGTGCACGGCCCCTGTCGGTCATCGTCCAAATTCCTTGCGTACCCAATCCGAGGCCCACCACAGGAGGCCCGAGTCGATGGGGTCGCAGGATCGCGCCGCAGCGCCGATGCGTCGGCGACGTCGGCGTGGAGAACAGCTCCACATCGAGCCGCACCGCCGATGCAGGCGCAGGCGCGGCGCGATCCTCCAAAGCCCCTTCTCTCCTCGGACCCCATCTGCGAGGCCTCAGCCGGCTCGACCTCCCCGATCATGGGGATACAGTCGAGGCGTTGACCTAAGGAACCCTAAAAAAGGAACGAGGCCCCTTTTTTCCATAAGCTAACCTTCGATTTCCCACCGAAAACATAAGGAAAACCTGAGGCAAGCTGCGAAACACTTAAGGAACGCGGAGCCCCTCCCCAACGAAAAGGCTTCCTTCTCCAGGGCCCCGACTGCAAGACCCATGGGGGGTCGGCCGGGCCGGCTCCGAGGCGGGAGGGGCGAGACGAGGAGGCGGCTCCAGGGGGGAGGGCCCCGCCGCGGGTCCTCTGGGAGGGCGAGGGCGCTGCGCCGTGGTCGCCGCCGCCGCCCTCGCCGTCTCCGGGGGCCATGCGACCGTGGACCTCCGGGGAGTCCCGCGTCCTCGGCGGAGCTCGAAGGAGAGCGACACCGCCACCACCACCGCTCCCCATCGCTCGGCGACGTCCCCTCCCCCTATGCATGTGGTCTCGTGCGCCGAGTTTGCTCGCGAGAAGATCCGAGATGCTCGTCGTTGGTCCTCGCCGAAAATTAACGGGCGAAGAACGGTATAAAATAAACTTTTTCGCCGTCGGGGACACCTGCCCCTGGGCGGTTGGAAAGTTTATTTTATACCGTTCTTCGCTCGCTGAGTTGGTCCTCGCCGAAAAAAACACACGCGTCCGAGCGATGCCAAGAGCAAGGAAGACCGACACCGCCACCACCTCCAGCGCGAGGAGCCGGGCGAGGCGTCCCCTGCCCCCAGAGTTTTGGGGGGGGCATCGTGGGCCTCTCCTCCTCCTCCTCCTCCTCCTCCTCCTCCTCCTCCTCCTCCTCCTCCTCCTCCTCCCTCCTCCCTCTCCTCCTCCTCCTCCTCCTCCTCCTCCTCCTCCTCCTCCTCCTCCTCCTCCTCCTCCTCCTCCTCCTCCTCCTCCTCCTACTCCTCCTCGCTGGAGGTGGCACCCCTGGTGGTGGTAGTGGTGGTGGTGGTGGTGTCGACTGCTTTCCGCCGGGGAGAAGGGGAGGGAAGTTCGAGCATCGAGGTTTTCTGGTGGGCGTCGTTTCTCCTTCAGGGGGTGGCGGGCCTCTCGTTAGCACGGCTGGATTCGCCACGGGGTTCTAGTCCATATCTGCCTGGAAGGGTGTGGAGTGCGGCTTTTGAACAGGTAGGAGATGGGCTTCTGGAGGTTTCGGAAGGATTGCCAGCCCTGGGGATGCTTCCGATCGGCCGCGCCTCGTCGAGGGCCCGCCCGGGAGCCCAGATGTTCCCGAACGGCTGCCCGAGGCCAGCGCTACCAGCAGGAACGCCACACCTGGGACGAAATGGCGTTCCTGGCCACCGAGAGGCTCGGCTACGAACAGGTCCCCCGACGCAGCGGGTGCGGGCGGAAGAGGACGGGGAGAAGAATGAAGCGGAGGAGAAGGAACGCCCGTGCCGCACACAGCTGCCGTGGCCAGCCACGAGCTCAAAGCCGAGCGGCGGAGAGGCAGCCTGCTGCCCACATGCTGGGGGCACCGGCTGCGACCGTCACTGTGAGCTACACCGTGCACCACGAAGCCAGCACCCGGGCAAACTCAGTCAACATCGAATCGGGAAACCGGATCAAACAAGAAGAAACGTCGAATCGGGTCGCATCGGCACAGAGCCTTAATCAGACTGGCTCGGCCGCGCCGGGAGGCACAACAGCGCCCTGCAAGCAGCAAGCCGCACCAAATATTCGGAATGCTGTAATCGAATCGGGTCGGGATGGTCGGAATCGATATCGAGTCGAACCGATCGGATCGACATGGGCCCTGTCGGGCGCGAGTCGTCTGATCTCTCTTGGCGCGCAATGCCGCATTTGTTCGGAGCAAGAAGGAATAGAAGACGAGCGCGAGCGCGGCACAGCACAGGTATACACCTGCACTGCGAGGCAAAGGGCAGCGCTGGTGATTTCAGGTTTGCATCCAAAAGCCATGTCACTCTGGCTCGAAGCTGGTAGCCGCAGGAAGAAGAGGCGTGGGAGGACGAGCAGGAGGAAGAGGATCCGTGTTCACCCCAGACGCATCAACGATGTTGCAACAAGCCATCCCTCCGAGTTCCCTCTTCATAGGTCCATACAAAAACTCATATACATTGCGAGAAATGCCCCATTGGGAAACAACCATATGAGAATCTTCAGTCGTGTCTTAAATAATTCCATTGACGTTAACGCCGTGATTCAACGTGACTGTTGCGCCCAGTCAACCCTAAGCCATGCCAGACCACCATTATCAACGTGACGCTTGCGTCCTGGTAATCCTCAATCGCGCAAGAGTCACTTAATCAGAATTCAGAACCGCGAATTTTTGGGATCGATGCAAACTAAAAAACGAATGTGGGCGGCGCTTGAGAGAGAGACAGATTTGGAAGATCTGCCACCGTCCATCCTTGAGGGTGCTGCAAACTTTTAGGACGAATGCGCGAAGCGCAAAAAAAGTAATCACGTTGTAAGAAAAACCACATTATGTCCGTGAATCTGTTACAAACCTCAAAGTCTACTGTGCGCAGCGCTAAAATGAGAGACGCGCTCTTGAAAAAAGGATCCGCTCTCCATCCTTGAGGCCGTTGCAAATGTTGTGGCAAGTGCGCGCGCCGTTGAAGCGGAAACCACATTTTCAAAACCACCCACCCTCCTCCCGCGAAGGTGAAGCAAACTTCGAAAGCGAATGTGCGCAACGCAAATACGACAGCCACATTTTGAAGAAGAGCCGCCCTCCATCCTTGAAACCGTTTCACATATCAAAGCATCGGACGAAACACCGAACCCGCCCTTCCTACACGACAGGGGGCGCGACAAGGAGGACTTGCATATAAGGACGAGGGATGGATGAGGCCAGCGTAAGAATCCATAACATCTGCATATACAGTTCGCAGAGGGGCGGCAGCGGGGGCGCGCTGGCCCGCGGTGCGTCTCGCCCGAGATGCGAAGCTCTGGAAGCCCATCATGAGTCCCTAGGTCTTGGCTCAGGAGGGCCCTATCCATTGGAGCGTATTATCATCCACAAGGGCCCGGGGGGGTCACGTTTGGGCACGTCTGGTGAACCTGCCTGGAAATCCTGGAGGTCGGGGTGGCGACGAGGGCGGCGGCGTGGGCGCACCCTGCCAGGTTGCCTCGGAACACCGCCAATGGCTTGCTCCAGCGCCCAAAACGCTTTGACACTCCCTGGCTGCGAGCAGCATCTGGTCAACACCCATGACCATCTAAACGGAAACTGCCATCGACGACACCCTCCGATCAACGCAGGGAACAACGCCGCCCCAAAACGTCTCCACGAGTCCAGGAACGCAGTGGCGGGATTTCTCCCAGGGCAGCTGCAACTTCTGATTGCTCGTGCTCGAAGGCCGCATGACTAGACGAGCATGCCCGGCGATTGCCCCGCATGGGCCGACTGATGTCTGAGAGCCCAAGATCTTCATGACGACCTTCGGGCCCTAGACCGTGGGCGCGCCAGGCCCTCGATCAACGCGACGAGACGAGCGCCCCCGCCAGGTTCCCCGACGCGCGCCATCCCGGCGATAATGCGGACGAAAGCGTGAACAACAGCCGCTCGCATCTCATGCGAAGCGCGCTAGTCTTGGAGGCCGGCCGATGACGTGTAGGCGAAGGCGCGATGATGACTTCTCGATGGACCATTCCGCCCTCCAACATAAAAAGGCAAAGCTGGGCGCCGCAAGCCGTCGGGAAACAGCCGCGGCAACTCATCGGATTGCGCGTAATCGCTCGGCAACACCGGCTCGCCCCGCCCGCGGCAACCCCGCGCGTCGCGCCGCTGATCCACCTCGCAATCCGACCAGCGCAAGGGCTGAACTCGCTCCGCGCGAAGCGCGCGCGCCCCTGACGTTTCCACCTCGGGCGCCTCGCGAGCTGGGCCAGCGCCGCGGGCAATGGCGGTGGCAGTCCGTTGCTCTCGATGCGTTCCCGCCTGCACGTGGCGCGCCGTCATTAAGCCATCGGCGCGCTCGACCGCGACGCTCGCCCTGTTCCCAAAGTCCTGCCTCGAGAAAACGCCGCGACCAGATCTGGCAGAGCTGCAGTCGCCATCGTCCGACTTCTGCAGGGGGCGGCGTCGTTCAGAGCGCAATTGAGGAAGGCCATCGCGCCGGCGGCAGGGCGGCCCAGCTATGGCGCTGGCGACGCCCGCGTTGCTCTCTTCTTCTTCTTCTTCTTCTTATTCTTCTTCTTCTTCTTCTTATTCTTTTTCTACTTCTTCTGTTTGCGTTGCGAAACCTGGGCGGCCACCTGCAGGGCTCGGCAAAGCGGGCGACGGAGCCTGATTGCACGAGGCTTCTTCCGATCGCCAGCCCGCTCCAACGCCGCGCCCTGATAGCCGGCAACGCGCGAGCAGTCGCCGAGGAACCGCAGGTCAACAACTCTGTTGAAACCGCCGCAGAACCCCTCGCCCCTGCGGCCAACGTCGCACTGGAATTTCTATTCCATAAACCATGAAAGATACCTTTGCCTTAGCGATCACGAAGCTCCTCATTCTGAACGACGTCGTCATCTTGGACTGCCATGCCCCTTGGAGGCCCACCACTGGCGATGGCGCTCTATCGCCGCTTCCGCCGCGCGCTGGAGGGGGAATCCATTGGGCTCGAGCCCCCGCGGGCACCGCCGCATGCACCTCCCGCGGCACTCGGAGGGCCCGCCCCCGGCGCAAGCGTTGGCTGGTCACCCGACCGGGCACGGCGGCGAGGGGGCCCCCGCCTCGCGCCAGCGCGACCTGGGCCCAAGGGCCCCCAGCAGCAGTCGCGGCGCCTGATCACGCAGAAGCCAGTCGTCGAGTTAACGGGGCACCAGCTTACACTATGTTCAACATTAAACGCAGGGGGGCGAACCTCGCGGGGGGTGCCGCGCTGGCGAAAAGATACGCAGGGCCTAATCTTCACGCCGGCGAGAAATGCGTCGCCCGAGCGCCGGCGAAAATTATGCAGCATCTCAGAGTCGCCAATGATAGCGGTGAAGATAAGGAATACGGTAGTGATGCCAGTGATGACGATGTTGATGGTGAAGACGGTCACACGATCATGAGGATTATGGTGAAAACATGAGAACGGTGCTGCCCCATATGCGGTGACTGGACCATATTGTAAATGCGGAGATAACGCTGATGATGCTTATAACAGTGACGATGATGATGATGATGCTGATCGCAACGGTGGCGGTTATGCTAGTGGGCATGCATCATGAGGACGACGGAAGGGATGCCGTCATCTGTGCCCCTTTTTCGCATTGCTTCTCGGGGCCTACATGGGCCTCACTTTGCCCGTCTCGAGGCTGTCCTGGTCTCCTGAGGGGCACCCATGAAGGTCCCGCGTGGCTCTCTGGGGCCGTCGTGGGGACCTCTTGGGCCGTCTCGGGCCCCTCGTTGGGCCTTCGTGGCCGTCTCGGGGGTCTCTTGGGGCCGCGGCAGGCAGGCGCCGTCGCGGCGTGAGGGGCGCAAGCGTTGATGTAGAAATCTATCGTGCTGCTCTCTCGACCTACCCCACCACAACCTGCTGGAATTCTTAATTCCCCCCCCCAAAAAAAAAAAAAAAAAAAAACGCATGACGCATCCCTCAAACCACATCCGCACGACATGGCCAAACATGCTGATCAAAACGTGTGGTAGCTCTCCAGGCAGGCGAATGTGAACAAACGTGGGACGCGCGCAATGCGCGAGCGCGGATGCTGCATAATTGACGAACATCTGCATGGTACACATCCCAATAACCGCCATGCTTGCGAACGAGATGCAATCATATGCACTGGCCAAAATTAAGCCGCCATCTCGCGAGGACCGGCGGACAAATCTTCGTCGGGGCCCAGCGCCTGCGATAGTGAGATTGGCGCCCAAAAGTGCGCGCTGTGAAAATTACACCATCCACGGTTAAGAAAGGAAGTATAATGCTCTTTGATATAATCACTTCCGTCCAGCCATCAGCAGAGCAGTCGTGAATCTGCCCTGTGGAAATAGAACATGACTTCAGCGCGCGAGTCGTCCATGGTGACTCAAAACCTGGTTGATTGAACAAGCCAGCCGCACGCGCTGTCGCCATCTCCTGAACTAGCTTGCACCAAGATGCACGAACACAGAGGAGGAGCTTGGCCCATCTGGCCGCCGCCAGCCAAGGTCGTAGCTCCGGCCGATGCGGCTGCCGTTCTAGTCGTGGATGCCACCCTGCTTTCACAGACTTGTGCTGCACTGGGCCTCCTCGACCTCGATGCAGAACTGCTTCATCATCGGCGTTGTCACATCTGTTCACCAGCCCCTTTGACACCCAAGTGATCACCGTGTCCCACGCATGCTGCAGCGAACCACCATCCTGTGCTTCATAGGTCGCCGTCATCATACCGTCCGCCGATCTGATAGGATATCTGGAGCAACCAACACGCGGCCCTCTCATCGGCAAAGCCCGAAGTTCGGCGGCAACACGTAACGTGATATTGTCATGGCTGCTTCGAGTTGCCATCGCAGCTGGGGCACGCGTCGGGATTCCAATTGCGTCTAACACCTCAACCGCTCACAATATGGACGCGGGGCTACAACGCGCCAGACAAAATGGTGTGTCTCCCCGCTGCGTTGGTCGCCCGGCACGTCGCAGCCGATGGAGTCGGCAACATTGCCTGAACTCGGCGCAGCCACCTTGTCCTTCCAGCACCTCTGATCCCACATGGAAGCCGCCTCCCACGAGGCATGACTTGCCTGCTGCACTGCGGCGCCCCAAGAGAAGGGCGAGTCTGTACAGCATGCTGATTAACCCGCGCCGACCACCCCAAAACTCCTGAGCCGCAACGACTCTGCCGCTGACAGCGTCAGCCTGCAAGCAGGGGGGGTCCGCAGTGGGCAAGCAGGTAGGCATGGAGACTGCCACTCCAACTGAAAGACCATCCGCTTCAATGCAACTGGCAGCCGAGAAGACACCGTGATAACCTAAATCCTGAAACGACTGCTGTGAGCTAGACACTCGAGCATCCGACCTGTGCTCTTGCGCCCTGCGCTCTAATAGCCGCATCCGCGGCATTCCCAACAAGTCGAAACAATGGGCCCGCAACGTCTGCATCAACTGTGGCAACGCGACCCGCGACATGAACTTCAGGCACCGTCATTGCAAACAACCACATCATACCTGAACAACCTGCCATGGACAGAGCCCGAGCACGGCTGGAACGAGTTGAATCGCGCGAGGCCCCTGAGCTTGAGCAGCTCCTTGGCTGCAGCATGTACGGTGTATCCTGGACATTGTCCGTGTCACAACTGGTCCTGGCCATCAGCAGCACGGGCTTGAGTTCCTTGATGCCCACTTCAGCCACTGACGGCCCAGCGGCGCCAGCAGCAGCAGCTTGAGGTGGTTGAACAGCGGCACCAGCAGGAACATGAGGTTGAACCTTGGGTCCTTCGGCCGGTACAGGTTCCAGTCTTGGCGGCTCCAACCACCTGGATATCCGAATGCTGGATGATGTTCGGCAGCGTTCGCGCCACACCTTCATCCATGGACACAGAAGCCTCACCTGCTCCAAGCTGTCGTAGTACCCCCCAAACTTAGTATCATCTAGTCCAACGGCAGCAAGTGGTGCAAGAGTTCACCCGCAGCTGGTCGTTCAGCAAGTGGAGCAGCTACCTGATTCGCCAGCTCCAGGTGCTGCGCCCGCAGCTCCACAATCTTCGTCCTTTTCTCTTTGATTGTATCATCCACCTTGGCAAGCTCCTCTTGCATCGCTTCGACCTCATGCTTGCGCGAGCAGCTCTTGATTGGCCTTCTGCTTGCGCACCGCACCAAATCTGACATGTGATGGCGAACATCCTGGCCGCGGCCGGCGAATGACAGTTGAAATGATTTGGGAGCCCGGCCCGCTCACCTGAGAGCGTCTTGAGCAGGACCCTCCATGTCTCGCAAATGACCTTGCCCGCCATGTCAACCTGCTTGCTCAACGCCACAATTCAAGCAAGGGCGCGACCTTCATCATGCCCAGCTCCACATGCATGCCCATGCTCGACAGGATTAGCTTCCACATCCATGTCATCTTCGTCGGCCTAAGACGCGGCAGCAGCCTTGAGCTGCTTCTCGAGCTTGAAGATGGTGGTCCGGGCCTTGCGGAGTTCAGCGGCTTTTGCCCATGGCGGGACATCGCTGGATACCCCAGCCTTCGCTATGCCCGAAGACTGGACATTTGGCTGCGCAGACTGCTTGTGCGAATGGAAGCAATCGCCCTCGGGCCTTCGTCATTTGAAGCACTGCACCCGGTCAGGTTAGTTTGACAACTTTTCGCCAGTCCGCTCATGAACACAAAGCCTCCAGTACCATGTCTGTGGTGCGTTGTCCCTGCGAGGAGCAGGCACCAGTTCTACAATGGTATCACCAGTTGCGCGGCCGCGCTGCTGAGTTGGATGCCGAAAAGGCTCGCTGTCAGCCAGCCGCTCTGGAGAATCGGCGACAGCAAGCTCAGGCCCAACGCCTGAGCTATAACGGCCAGGGGAGGCGGAGTAAGAGCATGAGGAGGAGAGGGGGGAGGGGGACGGGGGGGCAAGAGCCCTCCTTCTCCAACTCGTCTGAGCCCCCCCCCACCGCCACGTGCGCGCGCGCTGCCGCAAGCGCACGTGAACCTGTCAGACCTAATCTCTGAGAGCTGGAGGGCCTGTAGAATGTATCGGGCGCCGCGGCCATCCCAGAGAACCCTGGAACGCCCTGAGAACGGTCAAGAACGCCCTGGAGCGATTTATCCTCATCGTAGGCCTGCCTCCTCGTCCTCCTCCTTCTCCTTCTCCTCCTCCTCCTTCTCCTCCTCCTCCTCCTCCTCCTCCTCCTCCTCCTTCGCCGTCGACGTCGACGCCGTCGCCATTGTCGTCGTCGCTTGTAGCGGCATCGGCGTCGGCATTAGCGTCGGTGTCGCGACGGTTCTTCCTCGAGGAACAGCGCGTGGAGCACCGCGTGGAGCAGGTCGAGGTTCCCTTCGGGCTGGCGGACTTGAGGGGGTCGGCCCCCTTTGTCTTCACAGCGTCAGCCTGCGAGTGTTTCTTGACTCGTCCTTCAGCTCTTCCTCCTCCAGATACCTCTGGGAACGTCGGGAACCTCCAACACAGCTCCCTGGGAGAAAACAAATAACTATAAGTGTTCCTCCTGTTTCTCCTGCTCCTGCTCCTGCTCCTGTTGCTCCTCCTTCTCCTCCTCCTGCTCCTCCTCCTCCTGAGCCTGTGAATATGCTGCTGGCACCGTGGCCATCGCCGTGTGCGGCATCGGGCGGCCGCGGCTACGCTTCCGCCGCCCGTGCACCGCTTGCCATCTCGGGTCAAGATGGCTGCCAGGGTGGCCTCCCGTCCTCCCAAAAGGCCGATCATGGCGGCAACAAACAAAAACAACGAAACAGAAACCGACCGAAACCGAATCGAGTGAACGCAGCCGAGAATGGCGCAGCTACGCGGCAATGACGCAACAACCGACCGAACCGAACAAACCGAATGCAGCCGACTGCGACGCAGCCAAACCGATCAAGCCGCGGACAACCGCCTCCTCCTCCTCCTCCTCCTCCTCCTCTTCATCCTCCTCATGCTGCCCATTAGTCGAGGCCGACCCAAATTTGGTCCGAGCAGACGGGGTTAGAGGAGACGCGCAGCGTCGCCACTGCAGCCACGACGTCGGCGTGTGCAGAAGCTCGGTCTCCACATCGAGCCGCATCGCCAATGCATCGGCGACGCGGCGCCATCCTCCGACCACCTACCTAGACCCAATTTGAGCGACGATCAAAAACGGGTGTCACAGTCGGAGCGTTGACTCAAGGAACCCTAAATAAGGAACGAGGCCCCTTCTATCCACAAGTTGAACTTCGATTTCTCATCGAAAACCAGAAAGGAAAACCGAAGGCACACTGTGAAGCAATCAAGGAACACGGAGCCCCTCCCCAACGAAAAGGGTTCCTTCTTCAGGGACCCGACTGTACGTGAGATGGTGCAGCGACCTTACGCGGTGACCTACGCGGGGCACACCAGCGCGGCACGCTACTCTCTGGAGACGAGGGCGCTCACGTGCGACCTTATACGCGGGCAGCGCACGCTGCCAGTGTCGGTGCGGAAGACCCCTATTTTGCGCGTCGCTCATTTGGGCGGCCGGGAATTACAGCGCTGGACCACAGGGATGCGCGGTACGAGTGCAGGGCCTTCGGACGCCAAGGCTGGATCCTTCAGATCGAGAATGCCAGGTGGCTGCAGATGGGCGGATGGAGGTCAGATGCTCGTTCTGGGGATGTTCTTGGAGCCACGCGCTCCACTCATGCGTCGATGATGTGTCGAACGTCCGTCGAATTGAATCGAACTTGAGTCAAACCTGAATCGAACTTGAGAGTCGAGATGAAGTCGAACTAGAGTCGAGCTGGAGTCGAACTGAAGTCAAACTGAAATCGAACTGAAGACGAACAGATCCGCTGGGTGGGCCCCAGGAAGGCCCCCCCCAACGAGCACCTGATGAAAGGGTGCCCTTGGAAAGCTTACTCATGAGGGGCAACAATAAGGGGCGACCGGCTCAGGTGGGGGGAAGTATTGACCTGGACTCGGCGATGCATCGCCGATAGACCGGCGAGAGGCCCTGGATACCGAACGTGCATGTCCCTGCGTGAGGTGGGTCATCAGGTCCCTGTGTATCAGAGAATCAGAGAACAGGGGGCGACTGGGAGTCGCTGCGTCGCCCCCTGGGCCATTCCCCCCCTACAGTCGGAGCGTTGACCCAAGGAACCCGAAATAAGGAACGAGGCCCCTTCTATCCACAAGTTGAACCTGGATTTCCCATCGAAAACCAGAGGAAAACCGAAGGCACACTGTGAGGCAATCAAGGAACACGGAGCCCCTCCCCAACGAAAAGGGTTCCTTCTTCGGGGACCCGACTGTAACGCTGCCCCTGAACTCATCCTCGCGATCCTGCTTGACTGCAGGCACGGGCGCCGCGAGGAGCTCACAGCGGGCGTGCTGGCCCCGAGGGCCCCCGTGCCGAGAGGGGCCCCCGCGGGGCCGGCCCCGCCCCGGCGCGGGAGGCGGAGGGCGCGAGGGGGGGCCTCGGCCCCGTGAGCTCTGCAGCTTCCCTGGCTGTTCCCCGCGGGAGGAGCCCGAGGCTGCAGCACCGAGGATCGCTGCGCTCGGAGGGCCACGGCGCCGAGGCCTCGGCACTGCTCCCGACGAGGCGCCGCGCTCTGAGCGTGCCCTCTTTCGTTCCCTGCTCCACGGCCGCCACTGCAGGGCCGTTTTTAATACATAGGATGTTTGAAGGTATAGGCATTTTGATACATGGTTAATGTATGAATAAATGTATGCATGAACTCATCGTTGTTTTTAATACTACATCCCTCCATTTTTAGTACATGATCCGCACGCGGAGCATGTATATAAAAAACGACACTGTGCAGTCGGACCCAGGCCAAAAGAACATCCCTCAAAAACACGAGACCCGCCGCTGGCCCCAACTGAAGAGCATTCGAGGGCGCCTTCCCCTGGGAGGCGCAATGACGTCCAACAAACACGAAGAGCACGAGAGCAAGTACTCCAGATTTCGTAATACAAGGGAGGGGGTCTGGACCCTCCAAGACAAGCCATTTCAGACCTCCCCCGTGGGAGAATCCTCCAAAACATCGTCCCCAGAGCCCCCAGGCCCTCCAGGATAGCCTGGAAGAGACCCCCCCCGAAATGAGACCCCCCTCCCTTTACTACGAAATCTGGAGCACCCTCCCCGAAGCGACCTCGATCGCATGCCTCGGTCCGACTGTGCTCCACCTCCCGCTCCCCTCCTTGTGCGTCAGTCGCGCATCCAGCGCCGGGCTCGGCCAGGCTCCGCCGCGCAGGATGCCCACGCTGATGGCCCCGAGGCCGAGGACGCCCCCCGAGGCCCAACTGGTCAAAAGCACGCCGGCGTCGGCAAGTGAAGCTTCATACAGTTTCATAAGCGGCATGACAACTTGAACTAAAGAACGGATCAGGTGGCGGGCCTCAGTCGCGCCGAGGTGCACGAGGAGCGTCATGGGGAAGTCCAGCGGAGAGATCCAGGGAACATCGAGCCCCCTTTCGAGACCAAAGCGTGCCTCACCCCTGAGATCTGGCTGTATGGAGGGCGGAGGGGAAGGCTGGTCGCTCCCCCCCGTGTGGGACGCCACCACGAGTCGGGGGGCTGAATCCAGGGGGGTTGTCCACGCGATGATGAACGCGCGGGGGTACTCCACGCGCGGCGATCCAGCCCCGTCGACGGCGTCGGCACCGGCGCCGCCCGCGGCCGAAGCCCTCGGGCGGCTGCAGTGGCGGCGCCGTTATCACCGTGGTCGTCGTCGCTGTGGTCATCGCAGCCAGCGTCCCCGCCGTCGCCGCCGCCATCGATGGCGTCGGCATCGGCCCGCGGCAGGAGTCCTCGGGCGGCGGCGGTGGCGGCGGCGCCGCCGCCGCGCCAGCTGCCGCGGCGGGCGCCGCACCGCTGGCGCACGGCGCGGGCGCGGGCGCGCCGCCCGGCACGGCGCCTAGCGCCGACGGGGCCGCACGCCGCCGCCCGCGACGGCGGCGGCGCCGCCCCACGACGCCGCCGACACCGACGCCACACTCCGATGCTGAGGGCGGCGGTGCCACACGCCGGTGCTGGCGACGCCGACGCCACGCCGACGCCAGACGCCGACGCCAACGCCGCCGACGCCGCCGATGCCGTCGACGTTCCGGAGGGCTTGAGGATTTCTGGAGGCTCTCGGCGCCACGGCTGGACGCAGCTCAAACCACTGGCCAGTATGCATCTTTCGGACATGGTCGGATGACGACGACGACCACCACCACCGCCACCACCACCACGACCACCACCACCACCACGACCACCACCACGACGACGACGACGACGACGCCAACGACAACGGCGGCGACGGTGGCAGCGACGGCGGCGGCGACGATGACGTCTCGCGCAGCTCTTCCAGCCAGCTGGGCAGGAGAGGGCAGGGGAATGGGGTTAGAGGGGGATGGAGGGGGAGAGGGGGGGAAATTGACTGGGACAGGGGGGGAGCGAGGATTTAGGCGCATCCTGGATCCCAATCCTGGAACCCAAAAATAGAGGCTCCAAGGAATCTCCAAGGCCTCCTGAGTTCACCACGTACGGACTCTGGATTCTTTCTATGCTGCTAACGTTTTCATGTCAACATGGCAATTCCCGTTGAGACTCCTCTCTATAGACCAATCTAACGCAAGGCTACGAAGGCTCGCTGGGAGGAGGGGGAGGGAGGGGGAGAAGGGAAGAGTAGGAGTAGGAGTAGGAGTAGGAACCAGTGGCGAAGCCAGTTCAATCCACACTACCCGCGACCCCTCAGGGTCCTCTCGGCCTTGCTGAGGACCTTGGGGGTTAAATTAGCACGGATTATATCTAGATATTCTCTGTCTGTGGGGGTGCATCGGCGAGAACATTCCTTGCCAAGGGCACGCAGCTGCTTGTCAGCTATGGCCCCACACCTCCCACAGAACCATGTCTTCAAATTCACATTCACATTGAGGAGATGAGATGGGTGTAGCCAGCCCCCCGCCACATGCACACGAGATCCAGGAGACGGGGAAAATATGGCACCGTCGACATTGTACAGCTTCGGACACGGGGAATTCCAGAAGTCCTGAAGGGTAGCTTGCGACGCCGAGCCGTGACACTTAAAACACCGTCTCCGATCATCGGTTAGTTCATGCTGAGACATGAGCGGGGCGAGAGCAGCAGCAGCAGGGGGGGGAGGGGGCAAGGGCGGGGGGGGGACCCCCTGCTTTTTCCTCTCAACCTCAATCTGCTTATCCTTAGCGAAGCAATCCAAGGTGGCCCTGAGCAAACGGAGCCGCACCAACCGTGCTCTCCTCTCATGCAAGTGCACACGATACCTGTCGGCCTCAGGGACCCGATGCTCCATGGCAGCAAGGCCTGCCAGTTCATCGGCCACCAGGTTCCCCAAGACAAGATTTCGAGAAACTCTACCGTCGACAATGTCACCTGGCCCACTGTGGGAGTGGGTGAAAATCACAGAAACATGCTCATGACACCTATGCTGCAACATCCTACCTATCTCCTCCCAGAGGTCGGCATCATCGCCCGAAGGAAACTTATGCAACTGCTGGTGCCACCCCTGGGAGACATAATCACAGTCCGTTCTATAGCAAAGCCAATCCTGCGACATCCGCACTGCGAGGGCGAAAGCCTGCAATTCCCCTCGCGCAACAACCTGACGCCTGCCTACCAACGGGCCATATACACAAGCATCAATCTGAACGCTGGGCATGAGCTGTGGGCACAAGGCGATGGCGACTCCAACCCTACGCATCCGAGGA